CTTCGCTCCCACCAGAGCGCGGTCCTGGAGGACGCGCTTGGAGTTACGGAGCGCCTTGCGGTTTTTCCGGACAAGACGCCGGCCGACGTGCGCAGGCTGGCAGGCTGGCTCCGCTCCCCCATCTGCGGGCTGAAGTGGGCCGGGCCTCCGGACTCCATCATTATTGTCTCGAGGCCCCATTACCATATAATGGAAAGCTGGGATGTAGAGAAAATGATGGAGGAGCCGCCTACCGACGCTTACTACGAAGCCTTGGCGAAAGACCTCCGTGATAAGCACAAGATAGCTTGGCCATGCTTGCTGGATCATTTTGTGTCCCTTGAAGCTTTCCTAGATAAGTCGATACTTTTCGGCTTTTCTTTCGGCATCAACAAAGCAGAGATTTGCGTTGCGCAGGGTATGCTTCTCGGGCATGTGATTAGCCGCAACGGCAGTGCTCCAGATGAGGCGCGCTGCCCGGCGGTACTCGATTCCTCCCGCTAAGGGAGAAGTTGCACATAGAGCAATTCTTGAGCTGCGCGAATTGGCTCCGTGGGTATCACATTGCGGAGTACGGTCACGCAGCCAAGGTCCTTGGCGAGTGGCAGAAACCAGGGGCAATTTTCCTGTCAGGCGCTTCCGAGGGATGCAAGGCCTTGCGTGCGGTCAAAAAGATGATGCAGCAGCACATCTGCTTGGCGGCATTCGATGAGGCTTCGGCCGCAGACGGCTCATGTCCCTTGGAGCAAATTTCTGACGCTTCAGGGACAGCTGTCGGAGGCAGCGTTGTCCAGATGTCTCAAGACCTCAGCAAGTTGAAAGTCTTGATGAGACACTTCAAGTCCGTCACTCTGGCGCAGCAAAACTGGCCGCCTGTCATCCAGGAGGCCTTTGCGCAGTTGGAAGTGAAGAGGGCGACCAGAAAGACGTTCGGCTCAATCCGAACGCTCTGCTGAACAAACCACGCTAATCTCACTCGTGCCCAGACTTCAGAAATCCGCATGGACCCCACGCTTGTTCGCTGGGTCGCCGAGATCCTTATAAACGGAAATGAAATTAGAAGCCTCAGCGGCCGCAGCACTACTCTTGGGGATAGTTTCAGAAAGAACCCCAAGGACCGGGATGCTTTGCTTGCGGTTCGGACCAAGAGCCTGGAGGGCCTCACCGGTCAACTTCGGGGTTTTGATTTTGATCAATACCATGGGGAAGGTACAGAGGGTGAAGGCCCGGTGCCTTGGGCGGTTGGAAACGACGCCGTGCCGGAAAAGGCGGGCGTTCCTGCCGCCGTTCCTACAGCCGTAGCAGCGGCTTTCTGCCGGTCAGCGTCAGAGTGGTATTTGACTATGCCAGGTGGAAGGACCAGGATGCGGCACTGACTGAGATCAGGGACGTCTTCTTGAAGGCGCTGCCGGGCATCTCTGTAGCGATGCCAGGCTGTTCGGGCCCTTTCGAGGACACGGAAGGGATCTCCTTGCTCTTTGATGGAGCTGCCGGAAGGCTTGTCGGAGTCAAGAAGATCAAGCGCATTCGGGTCGACCCTCTCACTTGTTGTGCTAAGGTGTTCCGGGAAGCCACGGGCTTCAAGCCCCAGTTCATGGTCGGACTCGGCCAGGGCGGTCTTGTAGTAGCCGCCCTTCGATGGCCGTTGGTCATTGAACTGACTCTCCAC